ATTTATGACTTACAGACATTTTATACTCAATAACAGAAGCCATAGGGATTTGAAATGAATTTCTTAGTGATGATTGCAAAATGTAGTATAAGGAAATTTTATCTTATGATTTTCAATTTGGGGCTTTGTATCTGACTGACACTACTGTCCAAACTGTACACAAACCGTTCTAGTTAGTTGAGAAATTTTGGCATACACAAAGTCTTTGTGAGCTTAATTATGCCATGGTGCAACATCTGTTGTCAGCTTTACCAATAAACAACTTCTTCCTAAGAACTGTGATGCTTAAAGTCATGATATTTGTCCTATATCTAGCAGGGATGAATGGCAATCAGTATTGGTCTTATAAATGACATTGGCCATTTTAATGATTCAAAATTCAAAGATTCTTCTAGAGAGATAATTGTGGCCTAGAGTCCTGAAATATATTATTTGACATGGGCTTAAAACTAAAGTCATGATATTCTACCTGTGGCTTATTAGACTAAATAGTATTCAAATAGTTATCAAAATTTTACAAGCAGATCACAAACTCTCCAGGTCACTTGAGTTGATATATAAAAAAAAAAAAAAAAGCAGAAAAGAAAAAACCTGCTGAGCATTTAAGGCCCTTTGGTCCATTTGTTTAAACTTACTTGTTGGTAATATTTTAGTTGTGTTTTTTTGTCATTTTCTATATTTTCATCATTTTGTTTTATTATTCTTTGATTTATTTTGAATATGACATTTTAGATAAGATTCAGGGACCTGGACAATATTAAAAGTCAACCCGGAAGTCCTGGGGTCAAAACATCAACGATATCATATATCAACCTTTTACATTTAATACACAAACAATGTACGTATAAAACGTGTCATGGATTGACAAATTGACCAGTCGGTCTTGAAATGTTGCGACACATTTAATATGTACTTAGTTGGTGTATGAAGTAAAACTTTGATATTACATATTTCCAAACTGATGAATCTTATTGAAGACATCACAACTATATCATTGGATTGTATTGTTATATAAGGCCAAAAAAAATGATTATTGATTATTTGGTTCTCAGGCCCGCTTGCATTTCATTTTAGGGCACTGCATTGCCGATTTTATCGTGAACGTAATAAAAAAAAAAACGTGAATGCGCCAGCCGCCGTCTTTAAAAAATTCCAGAAAATTGGTCCGCATGTCGTTTTTACACGTTAGTCACCCAAGTCCCGAAAACGTTTGAATAAAGATAAGGATTTATATACAGGCAAGCGTTAAAATGATCATGACTTATTAGTCTTGTGTACAAATGGCGCTCATTTCGGTAGAAATAAGGAATGGGGGGTTCGTGATTCTCGTCTGGAACATTGTGGGGGATTTTCGGAGGCTTGCTCTATGAAGGGTCTCTACACAACTATAAAAAGACAAGGTGATGCCCATAATGAACGTTTTACAAACTACACAATAAAAAAGAAACGTCCTCGTCTCGTTTTTGCCATGTAAGATGAAAAAAAAAATACCACCCTGAAAAAATTGGCCTTAGAACCAAGTAATTAATTTTATTTGGCCTAACAACTTAAATTTTTGTTTTTTCACTTCATTAACACTATCGCTACATGTAATTAAGTTCCAGTGACTGACATCATACTGGTAATTTAAACAGCAGTTTATTTTAAATCAGTTAGCAGTTACTGCCGGCCACTTCTACTAACTTTATACTTAAGATCAAACTAAATTCTGTTCAATGCAAACTGATGGTATGTTTGAATTTTGAATTTGTAATTACGCAGGGAAAAATTCAGTAAATGGACAGTCTCCTGGTAAGTAACAGGAAAGAGTCATTTACCTAAGGCTTCCTGGGGACAGAAACATTAAATCTGTCTGTGATCTGGGTTAACGTACTAAAGGATGTAAGGGAGATAAGCGGTGGTAGCATTAACATTGGGCATTATCTCCCTTCCATTGACCAAACGTTTATGTCTTGTTCCTCATATCAAAACGTGATATTGATGAAATATTGATGAAACAATTGAAAAAAAAATGAATTTACTAAAATAACATTTTCATCTAATAATTAGTAAATACTTTTTGGTAAATTTATGATGTATTAAAAAAAAAAAAAAAAAAGTACAAAATGTATAGTTTTCTAATTACTTAATCCATTTTATCATTTGTACCGATTTTTGTTAGCGTCCCACATAGTTCTGATAAAAATATCACATTTTGTATGAGTTTTGAGATCTGTTGTCCTTGTGTTGGGTCTGTGGTAATAGTATTCCTCTTTAGTCTAGATACTAAAATTTTGAATTCCTGAAACATATTATGAATTGATGATTTTCTATATAGTGATGAAACAAGAACATTTGATTTCAGCTTGAAAGCTGACCCTAGAAAGTCAAAAGAGCTTTTACCATAGTTCAATGTCCGTCAACCCTTCTTTTGAAAGACTCTAATTGTTCATAATGGGGGTTGATGAAAATTATGCATGGATAATAATATATCCCTAGGTTAGTGGAATTCAAAGTAGTATAACAGAAAAAGTGTTGTCCCTTTAGGGCAGAAAACAGGGGTCTTTTAGGGGAAAATATGGGTAAATTTCTTACAAAACTTTACAAAAACACCATTTTGTATAGAGCATTCCTGCAATTTGGGAAATCATTTTTGTATTGCCCTGGTATAGATGTTAGGAATATTAAACATCCTTTCCAGTTCAGAAAGCTAATAAAGGCAGTTTTGAGTGAAACCATGGGCCTCTTTTTTTCCTCAAAAACAGTTTTCTAAAATACACTTCAGGATATTTGTATTTTCTACCAATAAAAATTAGTGTGTGGATCAATTATATAGCATTTCTGATCCAGAGACCAGGTATTGCAATGCTTCTTCCCATTATACTTTGTAAAATATACAAGAGTGGAACTATGGCATTTCTGTGTGGCCTTGGAAATTATGTGAAAACTTTTCTGGATAGAAAAATGCATTTTAACTCTTTAAGATAGCTCTGCTAACAACTACATGTACTAAAATTATTATTACAATGTACAATTTTCTTTATGAAATCGGTTGTCCCATATATGTATCTTTTATGCTTATCATGATTTGAAATTAAGTTGCATGAACATTTCATGTGTCGTAATATTTTTTTTTTAATGAAGAATGATACAATTTTCAAAGGAATTTAAAGAAAGGTTAGATGAAATGCAAAACTGTGTTAATACCATGATTTATGAGACTGAAAAATGTCCTTTTATAAACCCTCTTTCAACTGAATTAATGATATCTTTGATCTGTTACCAATTTCTCAGCTTCTGAAAATGTCTTTCCTTGGCTTGCTATAACAGCTTTTACTCCCCTGTATCATGCCTTGCTAATTAATACAGCCATCTTTCTAATTCTACGACTGATGCAAATATACAACATCCCAGTTCATCCAATTTCTGGGGATTTGATATCGGTTGAAAATTATGCATATTTAAGTACTGGTTCATGTACAGCAAAGTTTGTTTAAATGACTACCAAATACCAGTCCACAATGCCATATTTATCTGGCAATTAGCCCATGCCTGGTAATAAGCCCACCCATATTTGTAGAAGTTTAACAGAGATATTTCAACAAATGCTATTCTCTTGTCCTGTAATAAGCCCACCCCCCTACTTTGAGACATATATTTTATGTTAACCCCCATGGGCTTATTGCAGGATAAATACGGTTTTTAAATATATTTCTATCATCACTCCTCAGTCCTCATTATGTATCAGATTTGGATGAAAATTTCTACAAGAATTTTAGTTCTTCTTAAAAAAATGAAAGGATGTAATACAGAAACAAACCAACCAAACCAAATCATTGCATGTTGTTATATTTTGTTTTATGTATCATTTTAATGCATGGTGTTATATATATATATTTTTTATTATGTAACTGTGTTTCATTAATCACCTAACTCATCATTGTTTCCTATGTTTCAATTTGTTTTGTTTCTACATTTTGTTTGACTCAACATTGTGGATTTATAAGTTTCGTAAGAAAATCATATTGTTTGCATCAGAACTGCAGTCCATACCAACATCTATTCATTGATTCAATTGCCCACTTGTTCAAAGTTTGAATATAATTAGCTTGTCAACAACTTCATGAGAATCATTTAGTACACACTTCTGCAGGCATAGTCATTAAAAATAAATGGAAAACCTTTTAAATTTTACAAACAAATTCCTATTAAAATTTTGCATTAACATATCATTAAATGGAGCATTATTAATGCCCATGAAGTACCTGTTAAAATGTCATTGCTATAAAACTATTGGGGAAAATTGTAATATTTAATGGAAAATTAGTTGATTTTTGTGTCGCCTGCGAAAAAGCTGGTGCCACATAGGTATTGCTATGTTGTCGTCCGCACAGAGGTTTTGGTGCGATAACTTCAGTTTCCTTGGGCTGATCAAACTCAAACTTCATGCAGTGCTTCCTTACCAATAGTGCTTGCTTGGGATTGCTTTTCAGGTCCGAAGGTCAGAGGTCAAGGTCACTTTTACTATAAATAGAAAATCTGTTTTCGTGCGATAACTTGAGTTTCCTTGGGCCGATCAAACTCAAACTTCATGCAGTGCTTCCTTACCAAAAGTGCTTGCTTGGGATTGCTTTTCAGGTCCGAATGTCAAAGGTCAAGGTCACTGTTACTATAANAATAAACTTCCTTAAAACTCAGAGTATTCTTCCCAGAATAACAGATTATATAACAAAATGATGCCATCTAAAAACATAATCTATGATTATTGCTTACTTTTAACATTTTTTCTTGAAATGAAAAGTGTATCTATTTCTTCGTAATCTCCCAGCTTCCTGCACAGGCGACACATCCACTTCCGTGGAATTCTTGTAATTATTAAAAAATCATTAATTTTATATATTACAAGGATTAATGCAAATTTGATTATCATTATTTTCCACAATTAATAGTCATTAATTTAGGATTAAATTTGCATTAACTTGATGACAATTGTTCATTAAAAGTTATGTGCAAAACTAGATATTTTCATTAAAATTTTAAAACAGTCATTTGTAGACTAGAAATAAAAGAGACAATTTGTAAATTTTTGATATTTTTGGTCAATTTCAGCAACAATCTTAATGGAGTAGAATACTTTCTGGTACATTTAAGCTACATAATATTGATGCTGCTCAGTCAATACAGTGCCAGACAAGTACTATATATATTCATACAATGTTTATATAATGTTTTCAGTAATTGAATTAGCCTTATCTAATTGTTAACCCCATTTCAGCCCTGCTTTTATTTCTTTATATTTTTCATGATTTGCTAGCTGTAATTTACTTCACTTTTATTTTATATATTTTTTTTTTTGATATTATTTGCATGATAATTACCAGATTACCTATCGGAATAGTCTGTGTAGTCATTTCACATGACCATACTTAGTTTATATGATATGAAATATAATATCTTACTGAGGTACATACATCCACATCATCCGTATAATCTCATCACATTCATTCCATGCTTTTCATTATCAATTATCATATGTGCAAATATTTAAAACCATCATGGAGCATAATCAATGTTTCTTCTCTGAGACATGCATGAGGCTGTCGGTAATAGTTTAACATTATTATGGACCGCTTGACATTTCCACACACACAAGGCAGTGGTTACTGCATGCTTGTTGAAAACCTGTTTGACTGTGTGACATCTTGTTACACAGAGGGAGTGATGCCAGGGACGCGCATGGATCCCAAGTCTCGCAACCGCCCCTACGGCAATGGCGAGGTCAACGCCAGCATCCATGACCAAGAAGAGGACCGTTACAAAGAGGTATGTCATGGGGCTGTTATTTTGTTCCTGGTGAATCTTACTATAGTGATACAACCAGTTTTCAGGTCATGCAATACAAGATCCAGCATTTCACATTGTGAGGATTACACAATGTTGTATTACCACAATAGACAGAACTCCATTTTAGCTGAGCTCATGGGTTTAATTAATTGTTATCCACTGATCAAATTGGCAAATTGAAACGAGCATGCCTGGATTCATGTCTTTTTAGTGCCATTTTATGCTATGGTACCATGACGTCATGATTCGGTCGAGTCAACGTCGTTTTGTCCACCTGTTGTCGTTTCGTTCATTTTTTTCTGACCATACATATGGTAAAATGTGGTAAAATGATGAGTTAAGTTTTGCAGTATATATGACATGCATAAACTGAGCAATGGTAGGCATATTTAATAAAAGCAATACCACACACGTCCATCTGATGTCAATATACCCTGGTCCTGGGGTAAGTGACCAGATCATTTCCTTTAAAAATAATAACAGTTTGATTTATATATGCACGTTGAAATGTTGAGGTTTTGTTTAGTAACAGAATATCTCTATCCATTTTGAGTGTTTACTTGATTACAGAGAATTTGTATTCACATCAGTGTTTAATTCTATTACAGAAAATAATGTACAAAGATGACCAGTCGTCCAGGTACTTCAAGACCAAGAGGGCAAACCAGCTTCTTCAGACCAATGGGGCTGAACCGGTCAGCAAAGTCAGTAAGTACATATGTGATATAGGAAGACATTAGAAAAAAGAAAAATAAACTAAAAACCAGACATGTCCAAGATTAAAGACTACTTGAAACAGAGGTCTCCAAGTCATTTTCTGTCATCAACCAGATTCGGTAGTCATGACGACGGTATGAGCAGAGGTTTGTGTGCGGCTGTAGCCCATTTATTAATGTAACAACATCCGAGATATTTGTCTAGGTTATAAGTATTATTGGATTACAAGGTCAGCTAATGAAGGTCTTGATTCCTTGATCACCAACGACAACGAAAAGGAAGCACCCTATCCTCCATTTTCCATGCTTTAGTCTCAGAATTTAGAATTAACAAAATGTAGACAATAGGTCTATGCATGTAATATAGAATTCTTGTAGGCCCATCAAAATTTTCATAAACCTGATTTTATCCAAGAAAATTTTACTCTGCGTATACAGCTTGATAGCATGAATGTAAGAAAAAAATAGTAAAAATAAAGGAAGAAAACCAATTTTACGGATTACTTTTTCCCTCACTCCTACACTTATCACTGAATCATATACAAAGTACATCATAGGAAAAACACCTTGGTCTATGAGAGAAATGATTCTAATTATTCTGCAGTGTTTTCCATAGTGATTGTCAATCAGTCTACTATTAAGCTTGAACACTGCATACAGTCAAACTTCGCTATAGTGCCACCATTTGTCCACAGAAATGTTGGCATTATAAAGGGGTGGCGATAAACTAAGGGAAATGTATAAAGGAATTCTAAGAAAATGAGAAAAAGGGACATTGAAATATGTCGGCAGTAAACGAGGTGGCAAATGAAACGAGGGGCATTATATCAAGGTTTTACTGTAAATATGTTAATTTTTCATGATTGATAAATATAAATTTTCTTCCTTGCTACAGACATGTCCGAGATTAAAGACACCTTGAAACAGAAATCTCCAAACAATTTTCCATCATCGAACGGATTTGGTAGTCATGAGGACAGTATGAGCAGTGGCTTGCGTGCGGCCGCAGTCCATGGTCAGCTGATGCAGGAGGATACGATGGTTCGTCGACCCTTGCGCCTGGAAGCCTTGCCGACTCTTGGAGGTACAGGGAAATCAAAGAAGAAGAAAAACAAACCCTATTAATATGTCAATCTTACATGTTCTCCTGATATAGCATAAAGATTGGACAGATAGCATAAAGATTGGACAGGTATTAGTTTGGCTGGACTTTTCGAAAAATTCAAAATTGTTAAATTTGTAATTTAAGGGCAAATCTAGGAGATGTAAAGAGAAAATTTATAGAAATAAGAACAACATTTTTTTTTTTCAAAATTCCTGATACTTGTCATTCAAGACTAGCGAAAGTCAATGTTGATTATGCAGTACTTCTATTATTTTGTATGTAATATTATAAATAGAAAATGTTAGGAATGAAATTAATCAATTTATCTAAGATAAATAAAAACAAAAAAAAAACGTTGAAGTTCAGTTAAACATAATGAGCAGTTCATATAGTGCACCTCTCCTGGGGATTCATGAAATTTAAAGTCTGAAAATATCGTCTGGTCGCAAATTTGCAAACTATTTTACCTGTGAAAATTAATGTCTATATGGTATATGTTATCGGGGGCTAGTCCTTGTCAAACTGCTACCGGTCCGTGTAGATACACTGAGAGGACCTGTGTATTGTTTGTTTTATGTATATTAAGGGTGTCGATGCAATCACAACTAAGACAGGTGGTCACTCTCTGTTCTAATGTATAGAAATTGATGATGTTGGCAAAATTACATTGTTTTTAGGAAACAAACTGGGTCCAACAAGCAACATGACATTTCAAAACAGGAATGATTGTTAATTATCTCTTCGGAGCAAAAGTTGTCATCGAAATATTTTGATAATCTCATAATATGGTTTGAAATTTTCTTGAGGATGATCCCACAGAAAATTGAAATTGTAATCATATAGCATTGAATTGCAGTTACAGATTTAATGCTAAAACATTAAATATGTTAATAACAAATGTCTTGTAGCTGTTGATGCTGTAAAAAAGAAGAATTTTTATAATGTTTTATGTTGATAAGCTATGGTATTTATTTGGAAATAAGCCCATGCCTGGTAATAAGCCCATGTCTGGTAATGAGCCCATGCCCGGTAATGAGCCCATGCCTGGTAATGAGCCCATGCCTGGTAATAAGCCCACCGGTATCTATTACAGTTCAGCGGGAATGCCAACAAAGGTTATTTCATTGTCTGGTAATAGGTCGATGCCTGGTTATAAGCCCATTTAAGTTCAATAAAAATTACAACAAATTCTGTTTCATTGCCCTGAATCAGCCCACCTCCCTACTTTGGTTTAGAGATTTTATGTTGGCCCCCTGGGTTTATTGAAGGATAAATACGGTAGTATGCTGACTACAGGAGATTTGAGCACGGTAATCCACAGTGTTGTGTGGACACACGACAGCAGTGACTGTTGTATGGCATAATGTTTTTACCAGAATGTAGATTGTTGTTTGTTGTCGTTGTGCTTTTGTAGCTAATTTTCTGGTTAATGTTGTGTTTCGGGAGTTTCAAAGAGGGAAGGGGGGGGTCTTAAGGTTTATATTTAAAATCTCTAAATAATACCTTAAATTCTATGGTTAATTGCAATTATGTTATTAAGATTATTTTAGATCTTATTACCCTGAATGTGATGCATATCTTCATAATTTCTTGTTTCTTTTTTTTTCAAATATTTTTTTACATATGAAATTTTCTCTGTTGAACAGAAAATGCTGTGGTACTTATATGTGATTCATTGACAGCAGGGCACTGAAATATAAACTACATAAATATAGGAATGTTTAGACTTTGTTAAAGTAGCAGAGACAATTACTTGAATAGGGTATAATCAAGGCACTTTTCACGGACACAGCCCAGTGATCATGTGGTCATCCTCTACAACACTTGCTTGTGTGACCAGCCTGTTCAGTCCTTTAATGAACAGTGGTTTCCATTTAATGACACTTGATAAAGTGTGCATTTAAAGTTTCTTTTTCTCAAAATATCATAGAAATACAGAAAAATATTATGTGAACGAAGTAATTACCCCCTCGCAACAAAGGTTTGAGGGGTTATAGGATTCAGCCTTTGAGGGGTTATAGGATTCAGCCTTTGAGGGGTTATAGGATTCAGCCGGTACGTACGTTACACTATTTGTTATCGCTCTAGCGACTTCATTCCTCAACAGAATTTCATGAAACTTCATACAAGTGTTTAGTATGGCAATGCCTTGAACAAGTTCGCGTTTCGGGTTAATGCGTTAAAAGTCCAGGTCACTTTTACTATTTTTAGAAAAACTTTGCCATCTCTCTATCAACTTCATTCCTCAACGGTACAAAAATGTATTATTCATCGATAAATGCAGTCGCTAGACCCGATACTAATGCATCATTGAATTTTCTATTTATTTCCTCATACATATGACACACAATGTGTGAATGCGAGGGGATTTGTATCACTTGTAATATTGCCTTGTTTTAATTTATATCAAAATACAATCAGGGATGTTCCAAAATAAACTGTAGGGGAGGGGTGGGAGGCACTTATTCAGAGACCCCACCACCCATAAATTATTCAAAATGATTTAATTTAAGGAATAGTAGGCAGGTCTGGTTTTAACCCCACAACCCATAATATATTAAATAATACAGGTGCCTCCAACCTCCCCAATACGATAAATTATGGAATAGTCATCATCAATTTCAAGAACAATATCAATTAATACAAAACCATAAAAGTACATTGTACAATCATCAATTACAACTTCAATTTAAGCATCACCTAACATACAATTGATCACAACAATTTATACTTCTGTTACAATCATCAGTTACACTAATGCTTTGTAAGTAACTTTATACTCTATTGAAGTACACTCTTACTAAGACCTGTATATTTCACTACTGAAATACAATCATCACTTTGTACACTCTGTTAAAATGAACTCATCAATTATGACAATTTATGCATCCTGTACTAACCCTTTCACCCCCATATAACTTTAGTAGACTCTACCATGTACTATAATCTGGATGAATCCATTATATGGTCTACAGTGGTGAAAGGGCTAAAATACAATCATCGGTTACAGTAACACTATAGACATTCCTCAGTCAAGGTATGGGTACAATCATTGGTTACGATGACATGTTTAGCACTTTCAAGCATCCCTATTTTCAGCTGAGAATGAAACATGAACATTTGACAGATGGATCATCGTAATTAATAAATAATATTTCCTATTTCACCAGGGATATGCAATGGTCAATTGTTTAAAGTCAGTTGGAATGGAAAAAAAAACAACGAAATTTAATTTTTCAAATTATTGAATTTATTCATATCAATTAAAAGCATTTTTCATTTTTTCATAGATGCAAAAAAAGTTGCCTTAGAATTGAGACGATCTTAGACCAGTTTCATGTATCGTGTTATATATGTTGAGTCAGAAATAGCAATAACGTGCAATGTAGAAAATATAATTAGACATAATTACGAGATTGTTATGTGTATATTTTTGTGCTGTGTTTTTATTATTTCTTTAATTTATGATAGTCGTATCATAGTTGTTGATAGATGAATTTGTTCCATTGCTATTCAAATCCAGATAGATGCCTTCCCTTCATAGTTTTGCACTTCTATGATTCGGTATCTATTTCTTAGTGTTGACAGATTTACTTACGTAAAGTTATTTTTTAATGGAGTGTGAATATCTCATAGTTTGATTATTCAAGCAGTTGGTGTTGCTGATTTGTTTTTATTGAGGTAAAGTAAAACCTCGTTATACTGCCATGATTTGCCCAGAGAAAGTTTGGCATTATAAAGGGGTTTGGCGATAAATTGAGGGAAATGTATGAATGAATTCTTGAGAAAACGAGAAAAAGGGCCCATGATATATGTTGGCGGTAAACGAGGTGACAAATGAAACGAGTGGTGTTATAACAAGGTTTTACTGTATGTGTTTTTATCTACTCCTGTTTGAGCAACACAAAATGAACACTTATATACTATATTATTATTTGATATCACGTTAGTTAACACCTGATCTTAGTTACTTTTAATTACTAACAAATTGAACATATTTACGTCGGTAACCACCACCAGTATGCCAAAATAAATCTGTTAATCGATATAAATACATGTACTCTTAAAAAATGTTCAAATAGAAAAATAATATTTGTTTAAAGTTAAGGTAACTTTGTTACGTAATTTTTCATGTTAAAGGATTACAAGTATTTTTTCCTTGCTAGAATTAATACAAAACTCCTTAGTTTTACATCCATGAGGAACTGACTTAGTGAAACTTTATGATTTTTTGGCTAATTTTTCTGGTGCAAGTGTAATATACATGAAAATGTGTTCCAACTTTAAGAATAAAATGAATTTCAAGGAAATTGGCCCTGAAGTATCTCTTCTATAACATGCATTGTTTGCCCTAAATTTTCTGAAGTGTGTTATAAAGTGTTTCGTCAAAATGAATATTGTAATTCACGTGTGATGTTCATTCATTTCAAGACAACCTGGGTAGATAAAAAAAAACAAGTTTTTGTGACTGAGCTGTATCATATTTGAATGATATTTTTACTGATGGTTTTCTCTTATTTTCATAGATTGGACTTTTTTGCTCTGTAGAAGGTTGTGATTGTAGGTTGTTTGGAGTTTTTTCCAAAAATGTCTCTTCTGGTTTGATAATCTTCCATTATGTTTACGTTATATACATGTATATGTATACATTTTCACAATGATATCCTATTCCGCCCAGATTTTTCTGTGATTATTTTGTTAAGACATTTTCATATTGAATGACTGTATGAATTTTTAAACTTTGTCTCCAGCAGTTCAGATTTGATTTTGTAAATGTCTGTTTTAACTCGAACTCGTTCCGTCCAGAATGCTTCTTTGTAGAGACAATCCGTTCATACCCATATCTGTAATGTGCGATACATTTACTTTATTTATCCTGCAATAAGCCCATGCTTGGTTTCTTGAGCCCACCAATATATATTGCAGTTCGGAAGAAATGCCAATAAAAGCTTTTTCATTATCCTGTAATGAAGCCCATTCCCCTACTTTCAGTCAGAGATTATGTGTCGGCCCCCTGGGCTAATTGCAGGATAAATATGGTAATATGATTTTAAGGAAATGTTATGTATGAGACAGTGGCTGAAACTGAACATTTTCTGAAGTGGTTAGATTTTATTTCTGATTGTTCTACACAGAAGATGACCCGACCTGCCACATATAAGGTCACAGTATTCACAGGGTTAGGGTGAATGGTCTATACTATTAATTTGAGTAATTATGCAAATTATAAATAGATTCAAATGAACACTTTCAAGTCAGAAAACTGTTCCAGTTTGAAGTGATTTTGTATAGATTGCAAAATTTGTACAGTTCCATTTTAGTTCTAATACCTCCCATACTATGTAAATGTGTAACAAATGTTTTTTCACTTCAATCCACTGTAAAACAATAATGACAAATTGTAATATTTATTTAAAGTAAATATATGATGCAGAATTCTTGTCACAAAATGCCTAACATATGTTATGAAATGCTCCTAGATTTATAAATATTCTTGACTAAGATTATCTGCTTCCTGTCAGGAGAAGGTGCAGTGCTTTTGTCACATTTTGGTTTGCGTTCTCCTGTCGAAGAAAATTCACACACAGACTGCATTTTATAATATACAACTAACACACAGGAAACAGTTAACCTGTTTATTACTCTTGTTAGCAACATATTTACTTACAGTAATACATTTTGTGCATCAGGGGCTACTCACTCCAACAATTTTACTACCATATATTTATGCTACTATGTTTTGAACAAGCTAGACTCCGGGGGTATTGAGAGAAGCAGCTAGACTCTGAAAATGTCTTCAGAGAAGCACCTACACAGCCCAGAGAAGTGAGCAGCTAGACTCTGAAAATATCTCTGCATATGAAAAGTGTATCTATGAATTGAGGAGGAAATGATCAAGGTCACTGATATTCTTTGAAGAGTTTCAGTCACTGTACCTCTTGACTAAGGTTCTCTTGTGCTAACATTACTCAAACTCCCATTTACAACTTTGATTGCGGATGAGCGATATTTTAGATAATTAAGATCTTTATGTCAGAGGATAAGCAATATTTTAGATGATTGAGGTCTTTATGACGGAGGGTAAGGGATATTTTAGATAATTCAGGTCTACATGTCAGAGAAAAAGTGATAATTTAGATATCTTTATATCCATTTACAACCGACTGGTTTGCGTCGAACTGTAAAAAAAACTAAGCAAGCATCTTAGTCTTGAATATTTACGATCTTGGAGCCCAGTAGATAACTAATGTGCGGTTAATACTTGATTACAGGGTTTACATACAATACATGTATAGCAAGAATTTTGAATATTTTCACTTAATCCACTATTTAGGAGAAAAATCTTGCTTTACCTTTTTCAAAAGGATCCTTTTCAGTTGTAGCAAGGATTCAAAGGAAAATCCATTTAACCTGGACAGCAGATCAATGTTATTTTACAAGAAAACAGTTGATGTGTGTTAAAATGTAACTAATATAGAAAATGGTCCCAAAAGTCGAGTATCAGAAAACGAGATTTCTAGACTAATGTTGTATGGTCACAACAAATGTTCCAAGGTGCAAATGAGGTATTATGCATTGTTCATATTCCCCTTTTTTCTCTCTGAACAACATGTAAGTATCATTTGCTTGTAAAACGTGTACCAGGTAAGCTTATATTTTGATATATCAAATTTACTTATTTTGTCACAAATTATTTTGTCACAAATAACATTTTTATCATTATAGTTTGAAGAATGCTCAATAATTTTATGTATGGACCATGAAGATAGTAAAAAGAACAATGATCTATATATTTTGAAGAATGTTTTCTTTCCATTTTTGCTCCAAGTGTTCGTCCAATGTTCCATTATAAATGGCTGATTTGTAAATGTAGTTTTAATCGATATAAAGTTGTTTTGCAGACACATCCCACACCGTTTTATATTATGTTGAGTGGTTCACTGTGATAGAGGCACACACGGTGTCCCCTAGTGTCAGCCCCCCAGTCATCATTGATTGATGTTAAGTCTTGTTATACCATTATCAATAAAATGTCACATTCCACGAGAAAAGATGTTGTTGTTGTAATTGCTCTGAAACATCTGAATACAAATTGATTTTGTGTCAAGAAAGTGAAGAAAACAAGGTTACTAAAATTCTACACGGTAAGATAATTTTTGTGTAAAATGGCTGAAATTATTTTTATTGTGAAATTGGAAATGGGAAGTTATAAGCTTGAACTTTTTTAATCCGTAGACCATAAATCTGGTTGTATCTGGTTGTATCACTTACTATACAGGAAGACGCTTAGAGGACAGATTGGTATTTTCTATACAAAGTTGCACAGGGAATCCAGTAACCTTGCTATCTTTGCCGGGAACCAAGGTGGCTGGATTTGATTGACAAACTTAAAGCTTGTCACAATACAACATGGCTTGTACTTCAGATGAAAATCTACCATTCTCACCGTGCTTGTTTGCCAGGTAAGGTAAAACGGTCTTTGAATTTTTATGCCATCTGGTCCCCTAGCAACAATGCTGGAAGAAATTTTTATGAAGGTCGGTCAGTTGAGTAGACAAAGACCACATTATATTGTTGGAGCTTAGAGTTCATATGTTGACGATGACGGATGCACCGTAGATTGGTAAAGAACAGGACTTGAGGAAAGAAACCCGTTGTTCTGTTTTAAGGACCCTTGCACATTGGCCAATTCTGATGACTGGTGAAGGATTTGTATATGTTTCCTTTTATCAGTCCGTTAATGTTGAATTGGCGGTTTCTCATTGTAAGATTTCATCTATAAGTTCAAGTCATCTGTTTCTGTTCTCATAGACAATTGGCTCAGTAAACATAACATGCGCTGGTTGTATAGAGAAGCGTTTCTTCTTTTTTGGTTTTCTTGTATGCACATCGAAGACTTTTTGGCATCCCCGTCACCACATGGACCGATGGTTCACCTTCTATTAAAAAAGACCGTATTTCGTCCTCGGATTCGGTCGTGGTTCTTATTGTGCGCAAACCAGTTATCGTCTTGCAAGGGCATGGAGAAAAATAGTTCTTTCTGTAACCTGCAGTTATCGCGGGAAAATGTTGTTATGGGCGTCTGCAGGGTTTATAACGTGGCCAATGGCAATATGCTGCAACACTGAACTTTTCTGAGAAGGATTAAGGTATGTAAGTCGCTTTTGGGGCTTGCATCATTTTGCATCATTAATTTGGATTCAAACAGGAAGAACGTGATTTATTTTTTAAAGACTCGTCATTTTTTCTGTCATTTTCTATTCGTTAACACTTTTACATCGACTAAAGAAAGACAGCGCAAGTCTTAATTATTTGGTTAAAATAAAGCTCACTCATTGCAACGTTTTCTTCTAGCTCATTCAGTTCCATTGGTAAATACGACTTTCCTCGTGGATACTTATTGCCACTTGCGGTACAGGATGATGTTACGGTTGCTGAACATGGTTTCGCTGAAGGAGTTTGTGTGGGTTTCTCTTGTATTTTCCTCTGTTCTCATACCTTTTCGGTTCCTTTTGTAATCAAAATCGTCGGTCCAATCCGTAAACGCGAATTTTCTTGTTTTCGGATAGGACCGACAATTCCCGATTGGCCTCTTCTTTGTCTCTTCTTGTTGACTGTATTTCCGATTTTGTACTGCTGTGCTGAATTTGTGGTGTAATTTTATTTTTATAAACAAAAGTCGTTGTTTGCTTAGTACCTCTTCAAGACAAAACGTGTGGGCGTTTTCTACTGGAGACCAGTATTGGTACATGAGTTCGAGAAAACACGTTGATTATTGTGGACAAAAGTCAGAATGACTGAAGGTTTGATGTAGGAATGTTTTATTACAAATACAAAATATTAAAAAATGTAATGCCCAGCAATACATAAAAAATACAAAATTCTAAATGTTTATAAAAAATGAGTGTTGTACATTATGTAGGACAGATGATGACCAGCATCACAGAGTTGTAAATTAAATGACGAGCAGTTCACACATCAACTGCCTAAATATGTTCAATAATCATACTCAATATTGCATTGATACTATTTCTGTTAGATCGCATAGCATTAAATGCTATCAATCATAATACACTCAACATATACGAATGTGACCCGAGGTGCACCTTATTTTTGCCATTTCACCCTAGATTATTATCATGTGATTCCCCACATGGTAAATGCTATCAATAGCAATACACTCGACATATGACACAATTCAATATCTTACATTGTTAAATAAATATGATTGGACATTATCAATAAGATTCATCAGTTTGGAAAAAAAGAGATATCAAAGTTTCACTTTCTACACAATGTACGCATTAAACGTGTCGCAACGTTTCTAGATCGACTGGTTTGTGTAGAAAGTCAAACTTTGATATCATGATAGGACATTATCCAGAAGTACATGTCGGCACTTTGAATGAAAATACTTGCTTTAAAATAAATACTTAATACAGGAAGCTATTAATAAAATGGTTTGCAGAAATGAAAATATGTTTAACAAATTCGTCAAACAAATGACAATATTCGTAGAATCAACAGTGCACGCTAAAGACATGCCGATGTTGTATGGAATTCCTCGATCCTGTGTGCCTGCACGTTAACAGGCAAGTGATGAAGTCTTGTTGTGATATATTCGAGTATGTCCCCGACATCAGTACCATTCAGGAACGCGTGAGTCTCGTTAACAGGCAAGTGATGAAGTCTTGTTGTGATGAATTCGAGTATGTCCCCGACATCAGTACCATTCAGGAACGCGTGAGTCTCGTTCAATGTTTACCGTCCATACTATGAAAGAGAGAGAAATAAATAACATATAGAGGCCCTGCTGTAGAAAATTCATTTGACATGTATAGTGATTTTTAGAAAGAATGCTGAAGCATGATGTATTTTTAAAAGATGGCTGCAGAGACTTAATATGCAACAGTTGAAGATCAGTGATTGACTATACTAATCTTTAGTTTGCTTCGAGTTATTACATTTCATTCGTAACATTATAACATTAACCAGGCTGTGCATATCCACCGAACCACTTGTTTAAAATTGGTATTAGTTTCTGTATCTTGTTACGTGTTCTACAACAAACTACAAGACCACATTGGCACTTTCCAATCATTTTTCTGGTATGAAATATTGAAAAGCGAAACACTTTTTTTTTTTTTTTTCAAACGGTATACATTAGTTTCTTTATCAGTTTGACATAATAATAATAGTTAAAAGACATAATTTGGTGCTTACCTCATTGGACGACAGGTGTGTTGAGGAGGAAATTAATTGCCACAGACGTTAATCGGGCAATCACGACACATGATTCCATCTGCTAACGTGATAATTTGGTATCGCCTACACCAGGACACGATGTAATCCCCCGGACAGTCAGGAATTTTGGGACATTCACCCATTATATAGGGGTCTGTCAGTACTCGGTAGTGGAAACCTGCAACAGTAATAGAAAAATGTATTATTTATCTAATATTACAGAAACGTTTCATTCGTTGTCTGTTAAAATTGTCTATATAATGATGTCTGTTCAGACAGAATATGTCAATATAGCAGTCAACAAATATGTATTTGACATTCTTCAAAACGACTGGGTGTATATTGTAATGTATCGGTGTCCATCGGGTGAAAATGACATAACTCGCAATCAAATATTAATAGAACAGTATTACTGTAGACTATTTTTCTGTACTATGTCCTGGAAGTGGATACTGATTTGCAAATGATTTAGCATACATTTGTTTATATTCCCTATTTATACCTAAAACACAAACAAACAAGCTTACGATATTCATACTAAAACAAAAACAAAAGACTATTTGATAACTTTTGATAAAAAAGAGTACACATAAATGAATAAAGCAGGACGAAAATGTAATTTGTTTAACTTACCTTCAGCTGAATTGCAAATGAGAATGAAGATCATCAGAGATGCTAAGAGAGCTTTGCCGCAAGCCATCGTGGTGAATTAATTGGAGTTGTAATGGAGAGATCCAACTGCTGTTGTTGAATGAATGATTGTGTTTGTACCGTTATACTGTCCCAGTCGTATTTATATACACATGGCCCTGATGACAATGTGGTCAACCATGCGTATCCTTTCACCTGTGTGATGGCAGGTTGCGTTGGTGGAGGTGAATCAGATTATCAGTCAGGCAACACAGGTTAAAGGTTACCTCGCACGTCAGTAACTATGTCACTCAAGGTCTTATAGTACAAACATTTTAACATCTACAGGTAAATATTTTGATGCAAACGTGCTGTTACATAAACAAAAATACTTCAAATTTTATGTCGTAATGAAGTTTTGACCAAAACATTATTTTGAAATAAGGATGACTTGATATTAACGTATGTTTTAAAGGTAAGGGTTAAAAACAAGGTTTAGCATGTGGAGGTGTAACTTGAACCAAATTGACCTTAAGTGACTACGTCATACTGGTCAATTCGTGGTTCCTAGTTATTTGGAATATTTTGCTGATTTGTATAATGCTGTAAGCATCATGTCCACTCCTGAAGCCTACCAAGCCTGTCAGATCAGCTGTGCAATCTTAGTAACGCTTAGTAATGAACGTTAACTTGTCAATATCTATTATGATAAGACCCGCGTCTAACTAATTATCAAATGAGTATAACTATGAAAACCCGAATGACTAATTGTTTTAAAGACGATCCAAATTCCGCAAAAGAATCATCATGGGTATACTTTAAGAAACCTAAACGAGCAACTATTTTAAATACAACCCGAAATCCACAAAACCATCATTAAAGAGAGCACCCCATCCATATTGATTATTATCATATCTGTGTGTCGGATTTGGGGGTGATTATTATTTTAATTAATTATTTAATTGTTTAAGTACTGTAAGCATTCTAAGAAGGTCGACGATATGCATTGATCTTTGTTGTAATCTTTTACTTAGAAATTTGTTAGACCTGTTGCTTTTATCTCAGTTTTTCCTTTTTTTCTATTTGTCTTTCTCTTTGTGTCTGTCTCGGGCAGACCCTTGCTGAGTCGCTTGGTAACTATTCGATTAACTCTTGATAGGGCTTTAGGAAGATATAAATATACTTGCAAATTATATCAGATTTTTTTTATAGTTTCGTCCTACAATCGGTTAATTATTCGATTAAATGTTATTATAAACTAACACTGGGAACAACTGTATTTTCATATAAGTTATAACGTACCAAATAATATAGAAATGGTGTTGGCGTTAAATTTTTATGAAATGGATTGTGATGTTTATGGAAAGTTAAGAAACTCCATGATACTAAAAATAAATAAAGTACTTTTTTTAGTTGTGAAATGACTTTGACTATTAGCAGGAATTTCATTTCAAGTAAGATACACAAACACAAATGTATATATATATATATATATATATCGTAAACGCGGAGCTCTGAGTGATCAAATATGCTGCTACTAAAATATAAGAAGTTATGTCATGAAAACGTTGGCCCTCAAATAAGGAATCGAGGAATATAGGGACGTCTACGGTACATACGCACTAGATCATGCTATGAGTTCAACTTCCATTTGTGTGTCATAGGGTTACGCCTGGTCAGTTTATCTGAGTCAAATCTACCAAATATCCGGTTTATGTCTAGTTATCATGGATGTATGTTTTAAATGACACGATGATAAACTGTTCTTGTACACATGATCCTAGTACAACAGGTGTAAATGTTCTAACTAGAACAGAAACACTCTACGTCTGGTGTGCGTGTTCTTATGGAACACTAACACAAAACACATATAATCTCTATAGGGGCTATGATGTTTTAGGCTCATTTTGGAGAGAAAGTGGAAAAGGAGAAGGAAAGAAAAACATTGCTATAATGAAAAATTATTGACTAGAAGGAAGGCTGTAATAAAGATACTGAAGAATGTGGAAACAAGGTGTTCGATAACAATACATTTAATTGATTATTGATTACTGAACGAAACAACATTTGTTCCCTTAGCGGCGTCGTAATAAAAGCTCTACAGAGCTTATGTTTGTTGTTGACAATGTATACGACGTTAAATAAAGATTATTCATTTATTTACATTTATTTATTTATTTATTTATTTAATTGATTGATTGCCACATCAGCGTAACAGATATATGCTGTTTGTTAATAAAGTTAGTACTTGTACAAAGTGTATGAAAGAGGCACATATGTCTTCAACTGGTTTAAATTGAATTAAAATAGTAAATTGAAAACAAGATTCGAGCGAAAAATTCAATTATTAATTAATGAAAATAATACATGTACCAGTTTTACACTTAGATTGGGCCCGTCTTTAAGCTAAAATTTCATTAAGGCACCTTTCGTCTGTAGAGATATACTGTTAATTCCATTATTTAAACAACTTTTTTCTGAGTGTACTGTTCAGGTCAAGGTGCAGATAAAACTTATATTTCGATGTTGTAGTGAACTCGTTCTTTTGCTTGGCTGTACGCCTTACAACCCATCGCAATAGGTAATGAAAGTGTAAATCATTTTTCCTTATATATTGTGTTTTTCCAAGTATTTGTTTAGCCAATTTTAACAACATGAAAAACATAATATTTTCAAATTCAGGAAATCAGCGGATATTTGTCTTGAATATGTTAATTTACTCTGTACTATAGTAAACCTGAACGTTTGATTTTTTTTATTTATATCACAGATGTCGCCTGCTGACACGGGGCTTCCAAAGATGAAGGGTGGTGAAGTCTGGGGGAGAGTTTTATGGTAGCCATAATTATCTCATCAGGAATCTTATTAAGAAAGATATTGTTCTTTTTGTAATATTTATATATTTACTATTTATTGTTTAACTTTATTGCTATATTAAGGTATTATTCATATATTTATTTTTATGCTCATCTTGTTTTTCTAGATGATTGGTTGTTTGCATAACATATTGGGAGTGATGTTATGTATGCGTTGCTAACACGTCTAATCAGTTTAATTGTTATTAATACAAATAACAATGGAAAATAATTCCAATGGTGATACAAGAACAACAGAAGCATTATACATCATTATGGTAAAAGTTGGGTCATTGGGTTTTTAAAATATTAATATTAGGAATATTTAAGTGAAGTTTTTTTAAGCTATTGTCGCTGATAAACCAGAGTCACCTTCGAAATACCAGGCAAAAGCAAATAATGAAAAAGGTGCAAGGCGGGGAAAATACTCTTTATTGGTCGAAATGCATATCGTCGATATTACGCACAATTTACCTTAAAAATACAACTTGTTGATCATCTTATTCATATGATTTAAGATGGAAAGTATTTTTGCAATATTTCAAATGAAAACAAATTAATTATGGCTATAGTAAAATCACGTTATGGAGGCTCGAGTTGTCTATTGATGATGACGTTTGGGACTTTCTGTTTACTCTAGATATGGTCACGGAGGTGCATTACGTAGCAAAAATGTGATAAATTTTGATATGACAAATAGCTTTCATGATACTGAACGACGTGCAATGATTTCGAAAAACATGCATTACTAGTTATTGTTATTTATTTGGTCATACGGGTTGTGCTGAACGTTAAATGTTAGATCCGCAGGTGGTGACATGCTGTTTCTTGCACACGTACACTGCGGTACTGCACTGACGTAAATACCAGTCGGCAGCACACTCGACACTTGCACGCCTAGACCCGTTGATTTGTCAGCTTGAATATACGTTAGATAAATATCCACATGTTATAATTTACGATGTATCGAAGAGAATTATTGTTGATCGTATGATTGTGATCTATATATTATCTTAAGTATCATAATTAAAAGATTAAATGTCTATGTGAAGCAGATATTAATAAAAATAAATTAAAAAAAAGATCTCACGACCGACTTCAAAACTAGCCGCAATTTATGTTGATCCCTGTGAAGGCTGAAAGCTGCTAGTATTGAAGTCGGTCGTTACATATAATTGTTCTCTTCATATATAAAGGCAAATACATTAGATTATTAAAAATTATTAAACATTATTCGTTCGAGAGCAACGCATGCCCGTCGATATCGTTTTCTTTAAACAAGCCATAAAGCTGACAAGGAACAAATTATATCTGTTACCTACCTGTCGCGTGCTGTACAGAAGTAAACAAAAACAATTTAACATCAAATCGTTTTGATGAAATGCACTTCTTGACTTGTTGATGTTGTCTGCATGTTAGATTAAGCTGATCACTACGACCTTGTATTTGACCTATGTAAACGTTTGAAGTCACGACCTTACATTTTACCTATGTAAACGTTTGAAGTCATACATTAACTTATGATGGCCTTATTGAGGGTTATACATGTATGGCCATTTGGTGCAGTATAAATGTTGACTTTGTTTGGAGCTATCATAATCTGCATTCGTTTATTATTTGTTTCAAATAAAAGCTTCATTAGTTCGTATTTCTAGTGGGTTTTTTTAGGATCAACCAAATAACTCTTAGCTATTTGCTATTTTATAAAGTGTGTAATCAGTTGAAGCTTCATTACGTAATTACATAGTTAAATGCACAAGTTACCTCCTTGCAAATGATGATTTATGGTGGAAAATCAATACTTCATTCTTAAATTTCCTATAAAGGGGAAATATTAGCCAGGTGGCATAGGACTAGTAGTAAGAGCCTGATAAGGCAGCTCCTGCGAATTCCTCAGAATTGTATGGGTTAATATATATGCTAATTGTATTGATTGTATAAAAATGTATATCTTTGTACTGTAAAGCGCTGTAGAGTGGCTTATTCTAGCTAGATAGAGCGCTATATCAAATGTTATATATTATTATTATCATTATTTTAAATACAAAGTTACAATAGCTTCTCCATACTAATGTAGATTTATGAATCGTATTTTGACCCACTTATATATTTCTCTATGATATTAGTGTCAGAATCGAAAATCTGTACTCGAGAAGAAAGGATAACACTGTATTAAGCATGGTTTGACTGACACGAATTGAAAATGTGTATTCAGACTAAAACACCTCACAATTTTAGTACGCTATTTGTTTTATCAGAGTGACCTGGCCAACATATTGTAGTCATCAATATGATGTCAGCCCTTAACGTATGTTTACTACTGTAGATAACACAAGATAAACGTGGGTTTTAAGATATTGAAATCGCAAACACTTTGTTACTATAAGATCGAAAGGTGCATATAAATGACAAGAATTAAGAATACGATATTTCTTGGACCTGTTGACATAAATCAATTGTGATTTTATCAAAACTAACTATCAATGTGATATATAAATAATAGTATTATATTTAAAGATCTTAATGTGTTTGTCTTATACTAGTGATGTAATGTCAAATCGTTCTTGTTACATATTTTTATTGTTAAATTATAAGTTTTGTCTACTCTTTGAAATTTCTATAATTATGAGGTTTTATGCACCTTCCCTTCTGTTTCAACAGTAGTTTAGCAAAATGTAGTTGTACATAATTTGTATGTGTTTGATAAAACTTAAATAAACATCCTAGATAATCACCTGTAAACTCTGACCTGGGACGAACCCCAATAGTTACCAATAGTACTTTCGGTTTAGGTATACATGTTTAACAGAAAATGGCGTTGTTCATTGAACTGAGGTGTGCAGCCAGACACAAAGAAGATATATTCCACTGAATACTTTCTGGTAACTATAATTCTTATATAACCCCGTGTTTTTTTTGTTGTTGAAGTTTTTAAATATTTCGACATTGATGTTTATACTATACAACATTCCAACGAAAAGACTTTTTGAAATGTTTACATTTTGTAAGGGGGATTTCAACAATTGTGTTTATGATTTTGATACTGTTAAGCTAAAGATGCTGTTTATTTTGTCAAAATTGTATACAAATAATAAATGTTGTATCTTATTATACAACAGTAGTTGCGTAGTAATAGTGTATAAGCAGTAGTTATGTAATAGTTTCAGTATACACGTTGTCAGAGTTGTATACAACAGCAGTACTGTAGCATTAGCAGTAGTAGTATACATTGTTGTATGGAAATATTACTTGGTTACAACAGCAGTACTGAAGTAGTAGTAGTATACACTGTTGTATGGTAATATTACTTGGTTACAACAGCAGTAGTGGTAGCAGTAGTAGTAGTAGTAGTAGTAGTAGTAGTAGTAGTAGTAGTAGTAGCAGTAGTAGTATACACTGTTGTATGGTAACATTACTTGGTTACAACAGCAGCACTGTAGTAGAATTAGTAGTATACACTGTTGTATGGTAATATTACTTGGTTACAACAGCAGCAGTAGTAGCAGTATTAGTATACACTGTTGTATGGTAATATTACTTGGTTACAACATCAGTACTGCAGAAGTAGTATACACTGTCGTATGGAAACAACAGCAGCACTGTAGTAGAACTAGTAGTATACACTGTTGTATGGAAATATTACTTGGTTACACCAGCAGTGCTGTAGTAGTAGTAGTAGTATACATTGTTGTATGGAAATATTACTTGGTTACACCAGCAGTGCTGTAGTAGTAGTAGTAGTAGTCTACATTGTTGTATGGTAATATTACTTGGTTACAAAAGCAGTGCTGTAGTAGTAGTAGTATACACTGTTGTATGGAAATATTACTTGGTTACAACAGCAGTGCTGTAGTAGTAGTAGTAGTAGTAGTAGTAGTAGTATACACTGTTGTATGGTAACATTACTTGGTTACAACAGCAGTACTGCAGTAGTAGTAGTATACCCTGTTGTATGGTAATATTACTTGGTTACAACAGCAGTAGTAGTAGAAGAAGTAGTATACACTGTTGTATGGTAATATTATTTGGTTACAACAGCAGCAGTAGTAGCAGAAGTAGTATACGCTGTTGTATGGTAACATTTCTTGGTTAAAACATCAGTACTGCAGTAGTAGTATACACTGTCGTATGGAAACAACAGCAGCACTGTAGTAGATTTAGTAGTATACACTGTTGTATGGAAATATTACTTGGTTACAAAAGCAGTGCTGTAGTAGTAGTAGTATACACTGTTGTATGGAAATATCACTTGATTACAACAGCAGTGCTGTAGTAGCAGTTGTTTATATTGTCATATTTGTGTAGCATAGTTTTGTTTTGCAGTATTGTTACGCTTTTGTACAATAGTAGTACTTTTACTGTAGCTTAAAATATTCGTCATATTTGTATGTTGTATATTGGTAAAAATAAATTGAATCTTAATACAACAGCTGTACTGCAGTAGTGCCTGTTTACATATCGTAATGATAATGCTGCATTAGCAGCTACATGTTTCTTCTTCTTCTTACGGTACTAAGTTGGCTATACAATCCATTAGTATAACTATAATAGCAGGTAGGTGTTACCATGTGTCCCATATATCCACGACTCCTCTTCTGAAACGGAGTTTTTATGTCATACACGATACCCTACCTTTTATCTTTTGTGAAATATCAGAATGTATTACATTTTACTGCTGGAACTATGGTTTTTGCAGTGGAAAGGGTTTCTACTATTACAATTAACATCCGTTTTGTAATTTGCAAACAAAACGACAAAGTAAAGAGCAAGGATTAATGCGATAGATATATGGTCATTGTCAATCGTGACGTCACAATAATCCTGACGTTTTCTTATCGTTAAGTCATGATACATAATTCCATTCCCCGACTTTAATTGGAGGAAACGACGATTTGTTCACGGTATTTAATGCCGTTATCGCTTGGTTGCTTTATGTTTTATAGTAATTTTTAATTTGTGGGTTAAATATTTAATAAAGGTTAATATTCGCCCAACTCATGAAATGCAACTGACCCTCTATATTCTGGATAAATGCGACCTGTTGACCAATAATATATGAACCAAGGCTTTCAAAAATGCTTCAGTTTACATTGAAATCATTTGCGTTGTATTTCATTTCCTATTCTTATTTGATTGTATGATTAATGAAAAACAATCGAAGTTACTATTTGGACAGACGTTACTAAATGTTTTTTCTGCCAAAAAGTAACACTCATGAGTACAATGGCATTTTTCTATCTCCGTCTTTCTGTGTCGTTCATGTTGTATTTCCTTTGGTTTTGATGGCTCCTCAGTTCCTGTTGTGTTTTTGGAGCAGATGTCGTGTTTGGATTTTGTCCGTATGTGTTGACGCTTTGAAATATCTTTTTCACTATTTTTCTTAATATTAATCACTCAGCTACTGATCTTGTTCCCATTATAAAATGCACTGCATCACTTTTTGCAGACAAACATGGCTACACAGGTAGATAAGGGATTTATTGTGGCGGCCATTGACCTAGGGACAACATATTCCAGCCATGCATTCTCTTACAAGTCTGACTATCAACGTGATCCATTGCATATCCATACTGAAATATGGGAAGCTGGGAATGAGTTGTCACACAAAACGTCGTCTGTCATTCTCCTGAACCCGGACAAGTCCTTTAACTCATTTGGATTTGAGGCAGAAAAAGAATTTACCCGAATGGCAGAGGAGGAGAATATGGCGGCAGAGATGCTGGGAGAATACTATTACATAGATTCCTTCAAAATGAGACTTTATCAAGAAACGGTATGGCATTGGTTTTGACGTCAATACCTTTATATAATGTAATATATGCCTCACCATTGAACACCAATGCTTTGTTTTCTACACAAATGTATACATCTGTTTCGTTATTTCTTTCCAAAAAAAGTTATTGTTTCTTACTTATAAATTGTTTTAAATGTATTGTACTTATAGGAGAACGATCGTGTTCAAAATGACATTCGACGGGATACGGAAGTAGATGATATTTTTGGAAAGCCTATATCGCTTGTGTATCTCATTGAGACGTCGATTTTGTACCTCAAAACACATCTTCTGGATCAACTGAATTCTCGCGGTTTTGATACAACCGTTACGGACGTACGATGGGTCATTACGGTACCAGCCGTATGGACAGACCAGGCGAAGCAGATAATGAGGGAGTGTGCATTCAAGGTACAAGACTATTGTCAATATCCTCGATTGTCTTTTCATTAAAAAGGAAAAAAATCATTTATTTTTATCTTTTATTTTTAAAGTGCTTTATTTATTAAGATCATTTCACAAGAATGATATGTGGCATGCGTTATGTGTCCATTCGTCTGTTTGTTTCATAACTAGTATTGGTAAGAGCATAACTTCTGATAGGTTGTTGAAATTGACAAATCTGTACTCTCTTCCTTGTTTTAAATTTATATTACGATGTCTTACCACAAATTGTAACTCGATGGCTACTTGATTGTTTCAATGGTGGTTTCGTACATAATATGAAAATCGTATTTTACTAGCAATCATGTCTGCACACTTTATATTGTATAAAAACAAATACAGAACTAACAGGATAAAAGATCCCCGTATCAGCGACTACGTAACTAAGTATTTGAAACTAATTTTTCCGGCAAAACTACAGTTTTGATAAACATTACCTAATGAAAACTTTACTTTACAGGAATTTTATGTGAAATGATAATGATGAAATAAACAGAATGTTAATAATAATAGTTTTTTGAGAGTAACAGATAAGTGGGAATAGACCAGGATTCGAACCCCGGACTTCAGATTACTTTCGCTTGAACTAATTGAGCTACCGGGTCATCGAAAGTATCCTGTCCAAACTTTATATCCAAACGGAAGTTTAGGGAGGTTACTATACATAGGAATATACATAGATCAGCGAGACAGAAATCCTTAAGCTAAGTTAATATATTTTCTATTTACTAAGGCTGGTATACCTAGCAACACACTAACTTTGGCATATGAACCGGAAGTGGCTGCGTTGTTCTGCAATCATCTTCCGGCAGATCAGCTCAGGGGAGCAGACAAGGATATTTTCAAGGAGGGGGAAAGAATAATGGTTGTGGATCTTGGAGGTAAAATCCTATGTTTTCTTTGAAGGCAATCTGGTTCAAGATTAAGTGATATCAAATTTGATTTAAAAGTATAAACCTCCTGCAAGGTGTATGCCTACAGTTGCCAGTTCATCCTATGACGAATTTTAAATTTTAAAACGTCTTAAATATCAGCCTGTTGAATAACTTATATGATATTACAGAATGAGACACAAACATCTTTGAGGGCTGATAATTTTAAAATGTGCTATATATTACCAATATATTTCTATTTATTACATCGACTGTGACTATACTGATATTTTAGTGATGTTCGGATCGGTCAAGAAACGAACAGCATATAGTATAAAAACCGATCCGTACCGTCAAAATAAAAGTTTGCACTTTGACCTGGACGGTAGATATCAGAGGAACTCACAATTGTATATATTTTGTTTCTTGAAGGGGGGACCGCAGACGTGACAGTCCAGGAGGTATCTGGAGACAAGATGAGGAGTATCTTTACCGTAAGTGGTGGACCATGGGGAGGTTCAAAGGTCAACGCCGAGTTCATTAGCTTCTTAATAGAACTATTTGGAAATGAGGTTATCAGAAGACTTCAAAAAAATGACATTGAAGATTATCTCGAACTCATTCGTGAATTTGAAGTTAAGAAACGGAATACTAGTAAAACACAAAAAGGAATCGACTTAAGCATCAGAATCCCTACCGCCCTTCGTGAAAAATACGAAGAATTCCATCAAAGCGACTTTAAAAATGCATTTACCAAAAGAAGCAGAGCTAGTAATGAAGAGAAAGAAGATGTCACTTTGAAAAAAGACAAAATGAATATCAAACCAGACAAGGTCAAACGTTTCTTTTCCAAAACAATCTCGAATATCACTGAACATCTTACAGCTATAACAGAACAAAGCAATGCTAGCGTTTCCGCTATCCTAATGGTCGGAGGATTTTCAGAATGCAAACTGGTCAGTGACGCCATCAAAGAAGCCTTTCCTGATCACCATGTTATTATCCCTATGGAGTGTGACCTTTCTGTTATCAAGGGAGCGGTCCTGTACGGCCATAGACCCGAATCAATCACCGCTAGGTACTGTCATTACAGTATTGGCATCAGTCTCAACAAGCTATACGACCCAAATGAGCATGTTGGAGCTACTACATTCAAAGCGGGAAAAACGGTAAAATGCGGGAACTGTTTCGAAACATTCTTCCGTAAAGGTCGCATTGTAGAAGTGGGTGAGAAGGAAGCAGTAGAGGTCCACAGCGATCACAGAGGGAGCGACAGGGAAAAGTGGAAGTATGATGTCAAGGAAATTGAAATATTCACCTCAAACAACGCTCACACGAAATTCGTTACAGACGCGGGATGCAATCGGCATGCGATAGTAACGATTGACCCACCGGAAGGCGGCTGGTCACAAATAACTGACGGAAAAATCGAAATGGAAGTAGGTGGAACGGAGGTAATTGTTCGATACATTGATCAGAATTCTCATCAGATTACCGTTGTCAAACTTGATAGTTTAACCTGTATTGGAGAATAGAGAAGATCCAATACAAGAGATCAACCGGTCCTTGTGTGTTCCATGCTTGTAATGGCAATGCTGGTAGCGTGGTTATACTATTTTTAAACTTGATCTTTGAATTACAGGAAACGAAACGAACGAAGGATTAGAAAAGGACTGTTTGATTGAAAAAAAGTTTGAGCTCAAACCAACGTCATAATAAAATGTAATGCAACCTACAGAAAAATAATTTTTTATGTTTTTATTCAAAATGCCATTGTATAGTTCATGGTTTTATAAACACTTATTCATATCATTTTCTTTGTTTTAAAAACTAACTATTGCTGCAGTTCTTTTATTGTCAATATTTCAGGTTGTGGAGAGGGGCATTTTTAAAGGTTATCGACATAAATCATATATTGGTTTGTACTTAATAGCATTATTTCTATAATATACAGTATATTGTCTAATGAGAAATATCTGGAAATATTTAGTTCAGATTTGGGTCATTGTGTCTTTAGGTTTCGTATGACCCCATGACTTGCGCACATGTTAGACTCCTTGGTCCGTGTTTCAAGACGGGTCGGGTGGAATGACCCAACGCGATATTCATGGGGATTTAATTTCGCGATATTCGCGGTCATCAACGAAAGCGTGAAATTCATGACCCAGCAAATAACAATCGGGTTATATTATGTTACCTACACAAGAGGGATATCAATTTAGGGTATATTATGTTACCTATAAAAGAGGGTACCAATGTAGGGTATATAATGTTACCTACAAAAGAGGGATATCAATGTAGGGTATTTCATGTTACCTACAAAAAAGGGATATCAATGTAGGGTAAATTATGTTACCTATAAAAGAGGGATACCAATCTAGGGTCTATAATGTTACCTACAAAATAGGGATATCAATGTAGGGTAAATTATGTAACTTACAAAAGAGGGATATCATTGTTGGTGATATTATGTTGCCTACAAAAGAGGGATATCAATCTAGGGTCTATACTGTTACCTACAAAATAGGGATATCAATGTAGGGTAAATTATGTAACTTACAAAAGAGGGATATCATTGTTGGGGATATTATGTTACCTACAAAAGAGGGATATCAATGTAGGGTAAATTATGTTACCTACAAAAGAGGAATATCAATGTAAGGTAAATTATGTTGCCTACAAGAGAGGGATATCAATGTAGGATATGTTATGTTACATATCAATGTACGGTGTCTAACGTGACCTATATAAGAGGGATAACGATATAAGGTGATGTGTAATTAACTAATATATGACATTTACAAACATTTTTTTTATATTATCACAAAGTTATCTTGAAGGCATTCTATTGTAGATACAGGTTACCTATACAAAAGATAGATAATTGTGTAAAAGCTGAAAGTTCAATTGTGTGTTAACTTGCATGTGATGATGGGTACTGTAATTTAAAAATGAGAAAAGCTTTTTTGTGATTTTTTAATGAAAGTCCCTTGTTTGAAGTAAATATACATTGGTTGTGCATATACATAATTTGAATAATAATCATGACTGGGTGTACAGTAGTCTAGTGGTAGGACGCCATGCTCGTGACCGAAGGGTTGCGTGTTCGAGTCACGACACGGAACTGTGTTGTATCTTTGAGCAAGATACTTTACTCCGCTTGTTCCAGTCTACTCAGCTGTAAATGAGTACCTAGTTGGGCAGTGCTAGAATTGTTGAATGCGCCGAAATGGCAGCACCTGCTGTATTCTCCCGAGGGAGTTTAGATATAGGCTGGTTGCAAAGGCCCTATAACCACGGATAATAATGTGTGAACCGCTTTCAGGCGACCTACGAACTTGGTTGTGATAAAGCGGTATATAAGAACCTCGAATTATTATTATTATCACAAGCAAATGAAATATTTGCTGTTTTGTTTGCAGCTTTGAAATACATGTATATGTAAGCTCGTCGGTTTTAAATCGATTTTATAGTGAAAGTAAACCAAACAATTTTGCTTAGTTTTGTCATGGAATTGTAATAACAAAAGAGAAACAAAACACAAATTTAGGGAAAGACAAACATGACCATAAGGAGTCGCCAATAAAATTCACCAGGAACCGTCATTCAAGCTGAAGGTGGTATAATTGCTACTGTCTTGAGTTGCTCGGCGATGAAATCACCTCGCAATGTTATGTTTACTTTTATCAGAAATTAATAAATATTCATCTATAATGAACTAAAAAGTTGTTTTTTGTTTGTTTGCTTTTGTTTAATAATAAAGGATAACCATGATTTATTGGGATTATACGGTATAGGCCTTTACTGAAAGAACTGTGTGCACTTTTGTGCATAGATCGCTTTGCGGATTTAAAATTAAAGCATGCACTGTCTTTTTTGGTTTATTCCATAAAACCCCAAAAATAATACTGATTATTTAAGAAATGATCAACGTATGTGCTTGTATATAATGGTAGATAAATAATGAGGGTGAGGAAATTTTGGAAAATCCCGCGTTATATTTACCACTATAATAACAAATGTGGCTTGTATTTACCAAGTAAAAAATGGTAATGAAAGTTTTTTTTTAGTCTCTACCTCAGGGTCCATACGCCTATTATAATCAAGCTGTGACCTAGAAGTTCAGCGGAACGTTCTGACCGTAAGTTTTTTTTCGTGGATCTAGAGGTTAACTTCTTGCAATCAACACATTAAACCAGTCCCGCGACTCTATGGCAAGCCAACTTAACATTTATTCAAGGAGCAATGTCGATCCTGTATTTCATCGAATTATATAAGATATCTTATATACTATATAAGATATCTTATATCGTATATAAGATATCTCATATACTATATGCGATATCTTATAAAGAAATTAAATGAGATGCTATATAAGATATCTTATATGATATATAAGATATCTTATATCGTATATAAGATATCTCATTTAATTTTCTATATAAGATATCTTATATAATATATAAGATATCTCATATAGCTATATAAGATATCTTATATAATTAAAGTCTCGTTACTAAATAAGATATCTTATATAGGAACGAGATTTTAACAAAATGTCGAAAATGAAGTCTCCCCGTCCGGAATATCTCGAGGATCTACGTAGGGACAGTAGGCTTGTTGTAACAACACGTGTTCCTGTCGCCGCCATTATGTCTGAGCCCACTTCAAGAGTGCGGGAAATGGCAGCCTCTGCTTTGGCCGCTATAAGAGAGACAAGGCGAGCTAGGCCTA